TGAGAGACATCTGCGGCTTGCAGCTGGCGCCGCCGCAGGGCGCCTTTCCAGCGAAGACAAACCACGAGAGCAGCTTCGCCAATCCCCACAAGCCCCTCCCCTGTCGTCCGCCCCGATCCCCTCCTCCCCCCCGTCCCCCCCTCCTCCCCCGCCCACCCCTTACTCCTGCCGTGGCTGCCCCCCCCTTTCCGCGCGCCTCGCGCCTCCCCCCTGCCCTGCCCCCACCCCTCCCTGCTTTCCTGCCTCTCCTCCCCATCCCCGCCCCGGGGGCGCGAGGCGAGGCGATCCTGCGCTGCGCGACCGCCCGGATGTCCGGGTCGGGGGCAGTGTCGCCCGCAGGCCCTCTTCGCGCCCGGCCCGATCCCCCTGCCGCCCTCCCTCCCAAAACCCCACCCCTGCGGGGCCCCTTGGCGTCCGATGCCCAGCCCCGCACCCGTTCGTCCGACACGGTCCCCCTTCCCCCCCGGTCCAAGTCCCCCCCTCCCGTCCCCGGCACGCACCAGGATAGAGAAGCGGGCGCATGATGCTGCTGGTGCTGCCACCATGCCTGCCCTCTCCCGCTGCTCGCGCAGAGCAAGACGACATCTTTACATCCAGCTGCGAACGCTCGGGCCCGCACTCGCGATTCGAGCACCTGCTGCTATGGCCATTGGTGCCCCCCCCCCCGAGGGCATCCCAGGGAGGGCGGAACGGGGAGGGGGGCGGAGAAAGGGGAGGCAGGAGGGAGGAGGGAGGAAGGGAGGGAGGGAGGGAGGTAGTGAGGAGGGAGGGAGGAGGAGGATAGGACGCTGCAAGGGAGAACGTCGCGCGCAGCGCTAGACGAGGGAAGAAGGAGGGAAGGAGGAGGAGGATGAGGAGGAGGAGGAGGAGGAGGAGGAGAAGATGGAGGAGGAGGAGGAGGAGGAGGAGGAGGAGGAGGAGGAGGACGAGGAGCAGGAGGAGTAGGAAGAGCAGGAGGAAGGCGAGAGGTTTTGGGAGACCGTCGGGGGGCATCGGGCGGCGTTCGCTCAACTCCGCATGCCTCCTTAGATCCGCGCTCGCGAGGTCCTGCCCGAGGGCTCTCTCTCTCTGTCTCTCTCTCTCTCTCTCTCCTCTCTCTCTCTGCGCGTCACAGGGATGGCATCTGCCAGGCGCTGGACCCTCCTCAGCATGGTGGCGGGGCAGGAGAGGGGCAACGCTGGAGGAGGGACAGCCTGGTCCTCCCCCCCCCTCTCCTCCTCCGCCGCCGCCGCGCTCGGCGCCCCACCGCGCAGTGGCCGACCGCGAGACCCAGAGGATGCGCAGTCCGTGCGGAGTAAGTCCGTACAGAGCAATCGGTCTCCGTCCAGGCGTACTCCGTGCGGGCGTAGGCTCTCCTGATGCGTCGAGCATCTGATCAAGAAGCCTCCTCCCAGAGAGCTGGGCCAGCGTTCTTGACAGCTTGCCGAAAGCTGGCCCACTTCTTGAGCATGTTCGCCCTTCCAGGGTCAATTGCAGGTATTGTCCCAGGTTGGGTTCAAGAAATTATGGACGCTTCGCGTATCCCCACTAGCGCATCCTCGTAGTTCAGGATGGCGGCTGCCCCTCAGGAGACACGAGTGTCCTTGTCATTGGACCTGAGTCGCTCGCCGGCGAGCACCTGGTGCTCCGAGAGTGAGGCTACCCGCTTTTTTCCCTTCCTCTTCGTCCCTCCGTCTCCTCGCTCTTCCCCCCCTCCGTCCTCCGTCGCCTGCTCGCGCCTGGCTTCCTAGTGCTGGCGCAACGTCGCCACGCGCGGCTGCCCGTCTGCCCGTTTTCCCCAATTTGTTCTGCATGTTGCACGAATTATCTGGCTCTGTGCCCCAGTCAGCCTGATTGACACGCCCTCTGGACTCTTCCTTGCGGCCGCATATATATATATAATATATATATATATATATATATATATATATATACGTATCCCCGTTAGCCCATCCAGAAACGATACCCAGGAGAGTTGCCTTGATCAGAGAAGTGGGGGAGCACACAGAGGAACAAAGAGCTGGAGAAACCGTCATCAACCAATAGGGGGAGGAAGGAGGATGAATCGGAGGAGGAGGAGGAGGAATAATAATAATAAGAGGACGAGGAGGAGGAGGAGGAGGAGGAGGAGGAGGAGGAGGAGGACGACGACGAGGAGGAAGTGGAGGAGGGCGAGAAGGCGGAAGAAGAGGAGGAGGAGGAGGAGGAGGAGGAGGAGGAGGGGAAGGGGGAAGGAGGGAGGAGGGAGGAGGAGGAATAGGCGGATGAGGAGGAGGAGGAGGAGGAGGAGGAGGAGAAGGAGGAGGAGGAAAAGGAGAGCAGGAAGAGGAAAATGGCGAGCTTGGGGGCCGATTCGGGCATCTTGAGATCCTCTTGGCGGCCCCAGGCGCCTCTTAGAGCGTCTTGGGCGCCTCGGGGAGCCTCTTGGGGTCTCTTCGGGGTTCTTGTGAGCCTATTGGGGGTATCTTGGGGCATCCTTGGCGCCTCCTGGGGCCTTGTTGGGGCGCTTTTTGGGAGCCTTTGGAGCGCTCTTGGAGCCATCTTGGAGGAGATCGATCAAACGAGGGGGGGGGGCTCTAATTACGACCTCCCCCCTGGGAGACCCACAAATCGCCTCTTGGGCCCCTCTTGGGCCGCGCTTGGAGCGCTCTTGGGCGCTCTTGGGGCTGTGTTGGCCCTGGGACCGTCGAAGAACGACTCGGCATGAACCAAAATATCCCAGGGATGGGGTCGGGACTTCCGGGACCGGCAGGATGGGCACAAAGACCGAAGGCAGCTCTTTCGGCGGCGAGCGAGGGGGGAAAGCGAGAAGAAGAAGGCTTGCTCCGAGGGCGGCGGGGCCTCTCAGAAGCGCTTCTGAGAAGGCCTTCTCCTGTTCACCTGCCCCCCAGGCTCGCCGCCAATGTTTTAGACAGGACTCGCTGTCGGTGTCGCCGCGGGCGTTGTCCATGTGCGGCAGCGAGGGCGCCTGCCCAACAGTGGCCGCTGTCGGCTTTTGGACCATGTTTGCTGTGGGGCATCGTGCCCATTGTGTTCGTGCCCACCCCGGCCGTCCAAAGCTCAGGGCTTGGGAAACCAGGACACTGCAGACCTGGTTTTCATGCAGCTTGCCTCCACTTATCAGCCGAAAAGGCTTGTGGCCGAAATTGATGTATCACCAAAAACGCGCCCGAATTTCTGGCCGAACGCGTTTGCGACCGAATTTGCGATCTCGAACCAAAGTCGCGTTCGGAAGCAGCCACCCTCGGGCGCACTCTTCCGTGTTCGGAGATATCCGGGCGCCGGTTCGGCCACACTCAGGCAGATGCCCTGATATCGACTGCACGTAAGAGTGACCCTTCGCTGGAGTGACCTTTGGTGCGGGCTGCCAGGGCCCCCCCCCACAGCACCAGCCAGCACGCTTGGATTTGGCACCCTTCGCGGCCCGCGGAAGCCGCGCATGGACGGTCCTTCTTGCCCAGGGTCAGTCTTGCGTGTAGCCGATGCCAGGGGCTGGGCCACGTGGGGCTTTTGCAAGATCCAGCGTGATGGGGCCTGCCTTCAAACACCACCACCAGAAGAAGTTGAAGGGGGAGGGGGTCCTCCTCCTCTTCCTCCTCCTCCTCCTCCTCCTCCTCCTCCTCCTCCTCCTCCTCCTCCTCCTCCTCCTCCTCCCCCTCCTCCTCTCCTCCTCCTCCTCATATCCTCCCTCCTCGTCCTCCTCGTCTCCCTCCTCCTCCTCCTCCTCCTTCCCTCCTCCTCCTCCTCCTCCTCCTCCTCCTCTTCCTCCCCTCCTTCTCCTCCTCCTCGTCCTCGTCTCTCATCCTCCTGCTCGTCCTTCTCCTCGTCTCCTCCTCCCCTCCTCCTCCTCCTCCTCCTCCTCCTCCTCCTCCTATTGTTTCCCTCCTCGTTGTCCTCCTCCTCCTCCTCCTCCCCCCTTCTTCCTCCTCCTCCTCCTTCGCCTCCTCCCTCTTCGTTCTCTCCTCGTCGTCATCCTCCTCTCCTTTCCCTTCTTCCTCCTCCTCCTCCCTCCTCCTCCTCCTCCTCATCATCATCATCATCCTCCTCTTCGTCCTCCTCGTCCTCCTCCTTCTCCTCCTCCTCCTCTTCGTCCTCCTTTTCGCCCCTCCTCCTCCTCCTCCTCCTTCCCCTTCTTCCTCCTCCTCCTCCTCCTCTTCGTCTCCTCCTCGTCCTCCTCCTTCTCCTCCTCCTCCCTCATCCCATCCAATGTATGGCTGTGGTGGTGGAAAACAGGCCCATCACGGGGGGCGAAGAGCGCAGAGCGGGGTCTTCCTCCTCGTCGTCCTCCTCCTCCTTTTCCTCCTGCTCCTTCTCCTCCTCCTCTTCGTCCTCCTCCTCCTCCTCCTCCTTCTCCTCCTCCTCCTCCTCCTCTTCGTCCCCCTCCCCTCGTCCCCTCCCCCTTTCCCTTCTTCTTCCTCCTCCTCCTCTCCTCCTCTCTTCGTCCTCCTCCTCTGCTGCCTCCTTCTCCTCTCTCCTCCTCCTCCTCCTCCTCCTCCTTCTCCTCCTCCTCTTCGTCCTCCTCGTCGTCCTCCTCCTCCTTCCCTTCTTCCTCTCCTCCTCCTCCTCCTCCTCCTCGTCCTCCTCCTCCTTTTCGTCGTCGTCCTCCTCCTCATCCTCCTCCTCCTCCTTCCGTCCCCGTCTGCTGCTCCGCTTCTCCTCTTCGTCCACCCCGTCCTCCTCCTCCTCCTCCTCCTCCTCCTCCTTCCTCCTCCTCGTCCTCCTCCTCGTCTTCGTCCTCCTCCTCCTGCTCGTCCTTCTCATCCTCCTCCTCCTCCTCCTTCTCTTCCTCCTCCTCCTCTTCGTCCTCCTTCTCCTCCTCCTCCTCCTCCTCCTCCTCCTGCTCCTCCTTCTCCTCTTCGTCCTCCTCCTCCTTCTCCTCCTCCGTCGCCATTTTTGGCTCAAGATGGGCGCGTTGCCCTCTTGACTGCGGCGCCTCACTTGCTGTGAGTTCTGATACCGAATTGCTCGATTTCCATGGCGTCCCGCGGCGTTGGAGCAGTGGACGTGCGGATGAGCTATCTTGCGGATTTGCCCTACGCCCAGGCGGCGTTCGGGGCGTTCTTGGCGGCAGCAGGCCCTGCCTTGGGCCCAAAAGCCACGACGGCGCTGGTTGCGGCGGCGGCGCGCGGGGCAGCCCAAGGGGCGGCCGCGGGCAGCAGGCCGTGTGCTGGCGCAGGTGGCGACGACCAGGACCCCGTCGGCGACATGGACGTCGTGCTGGCGAAGGTCAAGGCCGTGTCGGGGCACGCAGGCGAGCTGAACGTCACGGACGCGAAGCGGTGGCTGCGGGCCCACGGGGAGCGGGGCAGCAATGCCGCCGCTCGGCTGGGCAAGCTCAGCAAGCTCCGCAACACCCAGTCGCACCCGCTCGCGCTGCAGCTGATCGTGGAGGTCGGGCAGTTGGCGGCGGCTGTCGGCAAGGAGGAGCTGAAGAAGATGGACGGGTCGGGGTGCCACAAGGGCGCCGTGGCGGGCCCCGCCCCCCCCAGCGAGGAGAAAGTCAAGGGCGGCGCCGGCGGGGAGGGGTGGGGACCGCAGCCAGAGGAAGCAGACCTGTCGGAGACGGTGGACGACTTCACGGATATGGCGAGCGTGTCGGAGGCGACAGCGTCGGGCCCTGAGGAGAAGTTCTCGGCGAAGCCAGCGAAGCTGAACAGGGAGCTGATCCAGGTGGACATCAAGCTCGCCCCAGACGTCGAGGCCAAGCGAGTGCTGAAGGTAAGGGACTCGGACGACATGTCGGAGACAGTAAGCTCGTCGGAGCAGGAGGTGGCGGGCCCAGAGGAGAAGTTCTCGATGAAGCCAGTGGCCAAGCAGTACGGGGAGCTGATCCAGAAGGACATCAGGGACGCCCCAGCCTGCGACTACCTCGATTGGAAGTACCAGCTCAAGTCGGCGAAGATCGACGAGTTGGTCAAGGTGTGCCTCTCGCACGAGGAGTTTGAGGAGAAGCTCCAGGCATGGGAGGACAACCTGTGAGCTCTGCGGCCAGCACGGGTGCGAGGTCCGCGGGTAGTCGTAGCCTTGTGGACCCCTGTGCCCCCGGGGGTTGTGCGCGGTGCGAAGATTACTGCGCTTCTCCTGGGGGCGGGTCCTGGTCGCGCCGTGGGGCGCAGTGCAAGCACTATTTGGCGTGGCGCGGAGGCCCGTGCCCTCTTGCGCCCGCCCGCAGTAAGGACGGGACACTGGTCCCCAGTGGGTTATCCTCGGTTATCCTCCTTCTCCTCCTCCTCTTCGTCCTCCTCCTCGTCCTCCTTCTCCTCCTTCCCCTTCCCCTTCTTCCTCCTCCTCCTCATCCTCCTCATCCTCCTCCTTCTCTTCGTCGTCGTCCTCCTCCTCCTCCTCTTCGTCCTCTTCCTCCTCCTGCTCCTCCTTCTCCTCCCCGTCCTCCTCCTCCTCCTTCTCCTCCTCATCTTCCTCCTCCTCCTCGTCCTCATGCTCCTCCTTCTCCTTCGTCCTCCTCCTCCTCCTCCTCCTCGTCCTTCTCGTCCTCCCTCATCCCATCCAGCTCATGGCGGTGGTGGTGGAAATCAGGCCCATCACGGGAGGCGAAGAGCGCAGAGCGGAGGCCGCGGCGGCCCAGGGCTGCCGCTTGCCCCTGGTGCGCCAGCGCCCCAGCCTCCGGGGGCCGGCGTGACCGACCCGTGGCGGGCGGGACCCCCATTGGGCTTGACGATCCCTTTGCCCCGAGGGGGGGAGGTGAGCAGGAGAGGGCCTCCTCAGAAGGTTCGGCAGTCCCCCGGCCTTCGGAGAAGTCTTCTCCCGCCTGCCCCTGGTGCGCCAGCGCCCCAGCTTCCGGGGGGCGGCCGGACCGACCCTTGGCTTGGCAGGCCGAGCCCCCTTTGCTTGACGAACCCCTCGCCCCGCCCTTGGGCCCCGGGGCGCGGCGGCGGGCGGGAGCCCCCCTGGGCCCGACGATCCCTTTGCCCCGAGGGGGGGAGGTGAGCAGGAGAGTGCCTTCTCAGAAGGTCCGGAGGTCCCCTGGCCTTCCGAGAAGTTGTTTTTTGCCTCCCCCGCAGGCAAATCAGAAACTTCTCGGAAGGCCGGGAGACTTCCGAACCTGCTGAGAAGGCCTTCTCCTTCTCACCTTCCCCCCTCGCTCGCCGCCGAGGGACGTGGGCATCCGCATAGGCATCCGCATCGGGATCCGCATAAGTATCCGCATAGGGATCCGCCTGGGGATCCGACTAGGGATCGCCATAGGGATTCGCATAGGGACCCGCACTGGGATCCGCATATAGGGATCAGAAATTGTGATTGTGTGTTCCCGGTGAAAACTCTTCTTCCTCCTCCCTCTCCTCCTCCTCCTCCTCCTCCTCCTCCTCCTCCTCCTCCTCCCCTCCCTCCTCCTCCTCTTTTTCCTCCTCCCTCCTCTCCTCCTCCTCCTCTCCTCCTCCTCCCCCCCCCTCCTCCTCCTCCCCCTCCTCCTCCTCCTCCTCCTCCTCCTCCTCCTCCTCCTCCTCCTCCTCCTCCTCCTCCTCCTCCTCCTCCTCCTCCTCCTCCTCTCCTCCGAGGCAGCTGCGCTCCTCCTTCTTCTCCTCCCCCATTTCTCCTCCTCCCCCTCTTCCTCCGCATCGCCAGTATTGGGTTAAGCCATTTCGGCGCCAAGAGGCGGCAGAGGCTGCCTGCTGGGCGGCCCAGTTGTGGGCCGACAGCCATCGGCGCGCAACCGGGCCGCCCAGCACGTCCGGGTGGCGGCGGACCTGCGGCCGTGGCTCGTGGCCCCTGGTCGTGGCTCGTGCGCGCAGGCGCTATGGTGCACGCAGAAGCGCTACCATTGCCTGCCCTCCGCATTCCTCCCCAGTCCTTGCCACTCCGCTACGCGGGCGCTCACGGGCGTCGTGGGCTCAAAGTGCAGAAGGGCACGCAGGGCAATGAGGAACAGTAGTCGTAACCATCGACCGCCTCCACGACTTTCTGGAATTAGGTCCCGTCGGGGCCCCCTTGGGCCCCGGGATGCACGCAGGCCTTGTGGTACGCACAGGCACTGTGGTGCACGCAGATGGTGCTGAATTGGTCGTGGCTCGTGGCCCCTGGTCGTGGCTCGTGCGCGCAGGCGCTCTGGTGCACGCGGAAGCGCTACCATTTTACATACTCTCCCTCGTCGTCGTCGCGTCGTTGTCGTCGTCGCTCGTCGCTCGTCGCTCGTCGCTCGTCGCTCGTCGCTTGTCGGTTGTCGTTTGTCGTTCGTCGCCCGTCGCTCATCGTTCGTCTCTCATCGTCCTCGTGCGCGCGGGCGCGGCTGCGGTGCCGGAGCCACACGGCGGGGGTGGGGGCGTTACGTCATACCCACTTCCCGCCCCCCCCCCCATGACGCCCGTCATCGCCGAAAATACAGAAACGCGTTCGTTGGCCTGGGTTGAGGACGTGCTGAGCGGTGACAGCGTGGACCCCGCGGCGCCCGAGACATCCTCCAGAGCCGCCGGACCGCACCCGAACTTTGCGTCCTCCTCCTGGCTTCGTCCACGCCCGCAGTCCTGGTGTGCGGGGGCCTTTGGCCCCTCCGCGCGGCGCCCATGCGGCCGGGGCTGCCGGCGCCGCTGCTGGCGCTCGCGGCCGGGGCGGCTGCCTCGGGCGGTCGGGGCGCTCTCCTCGCAGCCTTCGCTCGACACCACGCCGGCACTCGGCCACGCGCAGGGGGGGGAGGGGTAATTTGGGGAAGGCTTCTTAGAAGCACCCCCGCGTCTTAGAAGGCGCGGCCATTGTCTGTAGATGTAAGGCCCGCGCTTTCTACAAAGCAGCCTCCTTCTACGAAGCCTCCCCCCTCCCCCATACCCCCTTGCGCGCGCCGCCCAAAAACACGCACCAAAAACATGGGTTCCAGATTTCGAGCAATGCAACAAAGATTATGGACCAGACCCTGAGATTTCTCCTGGAGCTTCTCATCTTTTTACAAAGTTCGTATATGCGGGCCTGGGTTGTTGATTCAGAAAATGCCTGGTGTGAGGCCCACGTTATTAGCTTAATGTTTTCTTAACTCCTAGGCAGGGGTGTAATACGAAATGTGCATCGCCCCCATCTAGGGCGACGCGCGCACCGAGAATTCTTGTAGTACACGCTCCGTGGTGGGCGCTCTCTGGCAAGCGGTACCGCTCAGGAAACGATTTACTACAATATGGTCGTACTGTATGACGCACGCCTCCGAGGAGTACGCACAGTACTAATATGTCCTTCTGCGTCCCATTCACAGGCGACGCGTTGACAGAAATAGCGCTTCTGGCTGGGGGGGTGGGGCTTCCATTTCTGAACCGTTCCTCGGGTCAGCCCCAGGGGGCCTGCTTTGCCCGAGGTTGACCGTGACTCTAGCCAAGGCATCCGCGGGATTGGTAACGCGGGGACTTCAGGAGGGACAAAACACACAGACGCAACTCATCGTCGATTCCCATGAAAATATTGAAATATGGGAAGCGGGGGGGGAAGAGGAAAACGCAGAACATATGAGAAAATATGGGGAATCCTGGAATTTGTGTGTGTATTTATTTGTGTGTCCCTGGGCCCCTTCACGATTTCCTCACTCGAGGAGAGGCCCTAACCGAGCCTAGACTTCCCTCAATGGTCTGGTCTGGTTGGGTCTCCCTGCTCCTTGCCACCATCGCTGCCGACGTCGCCGCTTCTGCAGTCGGCACGTGAGCAAGAATCACATGTTTGATGTTGAGTTCGTGGGAGCTTCCATGTCTGAGCCGTTCCTCGGGTCAACGTCGGGGGACCTGCTTTTCAGAGGCATCTTTTCGCACATCCAGAGAAGTCGAGTCAGATCCAGAGATCTCCAGGGAAGTCTGGAGAACTCGTGGAACCTCCAGCCCGAGTCGAGGGGCAGCAGAAGTCTCGCAGCCCTCAACGACGGGGGGGTACAAGGCAGTCCATACATATGGTATGGAGCATGGGCGCAGCTCTCTGTATTTCGGCTCGGGGTTGGCTTCCGTTCCTGAACCGGTCCTCGGGTCAGCTTCGGGAGACTTGCTTTGCAGGGGCACCGCTAGGTGGGGATAGGCCAATGGGGGAACGCATCCAACCCCAATCGCCAATTCATCGCCAAAAGGGGTCCGATGGCCCACGTCTCCCAGGAGCCTGCGATCTTGCAATCGAGAGCGTATGGGCGATACATCGCCGATTCAGGCTCGACGTGTTGCCCACCCCCCCGAGCTGCCCCCCCTCCGCCTAGCGCTCCCCCTCAGCTTTGCTCGTGGTTCATGGTGACTCTCGCTAGACCATCTCTAGGGTTGGTAGCGCAGGGATGCTCCCCTCGAGGAAAGGCCCAACTGAGCCCAAATCGCCCTCTCCGCTTCGGTCCGATTAGGTGTCCCTTCTCCTCATCGCCGTCGCTGGCGTTGCCGCCGCCGTCTCATGCACTGCATCCGTCGTACCTGATGTCGCTGCCGCCGCCGTCGCTTGCTCTGCCGCTCATGCCGCCGCCGTCGCTGGCGTTGCCGCCGCCGTCGCTGGCGCTGCCGCCGATGCCGCTGCTGCCGCCGCTACCGCCGCCGTCGCTTGTGATGTCGCCGTCGATACCGCCGCCGTCGCTGGCGCTGCCGATGCTGTCGTCGCCGCCGCCGGCGCTGCCATCGCTTGCGCTACCGCCGTGGTCGCCCGTCGAGCGATCAATCGATCGGGGATTGGTCGATCCAGGATCGATGCTCGAGTATCTGGTTTTATGGGACGCTGCTGGCCCCTTTAGGGCCTCCAGAGGCCTCTGGACTACGTCCGTCGTCGTCGTCGCAGCCCCCGTCGTGGCCGACTCCATCGCCGCCGTCGCCGCCGTCGTCGTTTTCGCCGTCGTCTTCATCGTGGGTGTCGTCGATTTCCCGAGGTTCTCGGGTCTCGCAGGTTTTCGAGGCACTCGGAGGCCGTTGGGAGCTGTCTGATGCTTCGGGAGTAGGAGCTCGACGACGAGGATGAGGTGGCAAAGTTTGGCGCGCTCGCGCCACATCTGGCGTACTGCGTACCTCTCGCGCGCCCATCCGCTCCCGTTTCGTTGAGTC